CACCCCCCCGAAAAGAGACGTTCGCTTTCCCGGCGAGTAGATAGAAAGTAGCCGACGTAGGTACTGTCCAAGGTTGGTATTTTTCCGACTTCGATGGGGTTGTTTTCGATGTCGTCAGGTACCATCATTGTATGTACGGGTACGTCTTCTCTGGACATGCGTGCATGTACGCGTCGAGTTTCTGCAACGTTTGGGTTGTCTGTTTCCTGCTGCGCAGTGTGGAAACAGTAGTAGTGATCCCGCCGCCAGCTGCAGCGGCCGTATGGGAGCCGCTCTAGGTCAGAGGCGTTGGTAGAAAGGCTGTGTTTTTTTTTGTGGATTAATTTGTCGTCGTTGTTGTCGTTGTTGCTGCTGCTTGTGTTTTCTAAATCGCAATGAACAATGAGCACGCGGACGCGTTTTTCGAGCAGGCGCGATTGTGTGTCACCTTGTGTTTTGTTGCGATAAAAGGTAATAGTAATTGAATTGGGCCTTAGACGATAGATGCCAGTTGGTTTGGAGAGCGACGGGGGTAATGTAGGCTGCCAGAGGAAAAAGCGAGCGATGTGAGGTTCACGTGCTTGTTGTTGAAGATTGTCGCAAGCTAGGCCGGCTCCTCCGACCCTGGTTTTCATATTGAGTTCTTCAGCGTTTTCGTGTGCCGCTTCTTTTCGTTGTCGTTGTGGCAGCACTACCTTATTGGTAGGTTATAGGGGATATTCGATCGATAGACACGAGTTTCATATTACAATGTAACAGCAGCAGTAGACGTGCGCTGCGTAAGCGTAGACTGAGAGCAAAATGTGCGTGCGTGTACGCCGGAGCAAAAAAGGGTCTAGTATTCTGCCTGGATCGCAGCGGCAGAGCTCTCTTCTGACTTGTGGTCGTGCACGCGTTTTGTTCTTGTCGACTGGTTGTATGCTTCTGTCGGCGCAATCCTCTCGGCGAGTTAGTGTGGGTCTCGATGGTGCGCCGGTTGTGATGAGCGAATAATTAATGTGTGTGTGGTTGGTTGATCGAAATGGCCACAGAGAGCGAGCGAGCGAGAGAGAGACAGAGACTTGCCCGTTTTCAGGAATTTACACGTACGTGTGGCTTTTCTGTGTCGTATGGCTGTCGTGAAGTCTTTGTGGAGAGTAGCTAGATATACCTCGATAACTGTGATACTTTTGGCGGCATCAGCGCATAGGGTCTCCTTGTTTGGTACCATTATTTCACTATTTGACGGGGAGACGGGGATGTCGTTTCCGGAGTTTTCTGTTGTACGGCCAGGTTTTCGCGAGGGTTGGTTGCGCAGCAACGTGTTAAATCAACGGGGAACAGCCAGCCAGTGAGCCCACATAGTCGAAATGTGTCTTGTCGTTGCGTGCATGTTTATTTGGCGTGCTTCTGTATGATTCTGCGTACAGCATTTGGTTCTCCGAGAGACAACACTCCATCTCCAATTTGAGTGATATCCACACGCCACAAGCGTTTCGTGCTCGCCGCCGCACTGAGACCTACGTTTTCGTTGGTCTGCCGGTTAACTTGGTCGACGCTATCAGTAAGAAGTGTTTGTGTCAGTGTTCCTGAGAACACACGCCAGAACCAAATGTAACGGTTAAGTTCGTCACGGTTCAGAACGTGTGTAACGTCTCTGTCTCTTTATTTAGCCGCTTCCGCCCCCGAGGTGGTATTTTCATGATGGGCACCTTCCGGGTCGTTTCGGGTAGCGGACAGGTTCTCACCGCTCGACACACACGGAGACAGGCCCAGGCCTCCTTGCAGATCTCATTCGAGGTCACCGCATTTCTGCGTACGCACGCGTGCACACGTATTTCAACGATGGCCGACTTCGCTGTCTCTTGGTTATAGATTTGATGGGCAAATATATTGTGAACGCGGGCCGGCTGCGCTAGCGCAAGTATTTCCGGCGTCATCATCTACCCTCCTTCGGAGAAACTGTCCAATAATTCCATCCTCGTCTTGACTGCATTGGCTAAATGGTCAAAAAGCCCATAGTCTCTAGAGCTACACCCTCTCTTGCAGACATGTCAAGGGCATCTTTCCCAAGTATCGTTGGGCATGAACAATCAACTATGGCATCGAGAGACTAGGCATACTTACTGGCGTGACAATATTGTACTTGGGTCTAGTGTTCATGTACTGCTGTAAGAAGCAATCAGGAAAAAATTTTCTACAACGAAAAGCCAGGGCCTAGCGCGGTCCCAGCCCTTCTCCGAGCTGTGCTTGAGGCTGGTACAGGCAATTACTGAATGAAGTCATCCCCAACAACACTGGGTGAAACCAAGACGTGCAGATTCCTGGCAGAAAAATCGTTCCTCGTTAGACGAAAGAACAGTAGTCTATATTCTTCCTGCTTCGAAGATATTTTCTAAAAAAAACAGAAAACAATTTGACCTCGAAAATTTCGCTATGAATTCATTGCTAATCTGTCTCAGACTCTTTTCTATGATAGAGATGGATTCGTTGTGTCATATTTAGAAGAAAAAAAAAAAGGACTGAGCGAAGCAGGCTGAGGCGAGGGGAGGGAGCCGTCCCCAGGTTAGGAGTCAACGAAGCCAGCGTATCGTTACATCCACTTATTGGGCTCCTTGCCCGAAGCGTCCAAATCATCCTTCGTCGCCCGAAGCGTCCAAATCATCCTTCGTCGCCCGAAGCGTCCAAATCATCATTCGTCGCCCGAAGCGTCCAAATCATCATTCGTCGCCCGAAGCGTCCAAATCATCATTCGTCGCCCGAAGCGTCCAAATCATCATTCGTCGCCCGAAGCGTCCAAATCATCATTCGTCGCCCGAAGCGTCCAAATCATCATTCGTCGCCCGAAGCGTCCAAATCATCATTCGTCGTCAACCAAGCGCGACCTCCACCCAAGGAAGGTTCCTCGAAACTACCATGCATGCATTCCTTTTTTTCTACAGGTAGTCTAATAGACTGAGCCGATCGTAAAAACTGAGGCAGTATGTATTCCCAAAAGCTAAACAAAAAACACACAACGTGCTAACTCGACAAATGCGACACATTTACGTTCTCGTACGCATACGTGGGCACACGTTCCAGTCTACAGCCAAGTGAGTTGACGAGTAACATGCCAAGACGCACCAAACAATGCGCTGTGCGTAGACGTCCAAAACAGGATTTAGACACACACACATTCATTGAGCAGGAGTCACTGCACTGGGAAAAAAGGGCAATATACAGTGGCATGTACTCGGAAAACAATTCGCCCGCCAGATACAAACTGGTTTGCCATGTTACCATCAAACCGCATCAATTTACGCTGACGATGCATGCGTTCACTTCTTCGGCGCACGGCCGTATGAAGCCAACAGGGCGAACCGGGCGACCCCTCTGCTGCGGTGTTGTTGAATTTCCTCCGTGAACACCACCCGCTCGTATTGTCGTGAGTAACAGCAGCGTGCTTCGAGTATTTCCTTCGTTCGTGGGTTATCGCCAAAGGCCAAATCTGGAAGTACAAAAGGTGTCCATGCCGGCCACGATAACGTTTCGCTTCGTCGTTGTACGGCGGTCCTCCGTCACTACAACACCGGAGGACCTAGGCTATAATATAAACAAAAAGAGATAATAATGTTTACGGGAAACACTACGACAACGCGGTCTTCACGCGGAAAGGATATTGAAGCCCAAGCCATGAGTCTGGTAAGTTATTCTATTGGTCTGAGAGTGCCAATATTTAAGCCGTCCATGTCGGCAATACAACGAAAATAAACGGACAAACAGTTTATAACCGCAAGCAACCAGAGCCTAGTTCCAGAACACGTAGCTGAGCACGCAAGTTGCCTATCGGCCGGGCATCTTGTCTACCCCACGTCTCGGGCGCAACCAACGTCGTCGCCGACCTCACGCAGGGCTGTCACCGGTACGCCACCGAGGCACCATCACCAAAGCACAGCAAAACCAAAAAACAGAAACAGAGCACACGACAGCTACGCACCGACGTTACCCCGGCCTACCTATGTATATATACCGGAAGGGATCATTCCTGCTGAATGCCGCGAACCACGTCGCGGACTTCTCTTAGGTCGTTTCTCGCGTGCCATCGCACGCCTCCCTCCTGCCGACTGCGCTCCCCCGAGTTGCGAAGGAGGTAGCTGGGGTGGAACCAGGGCATGATCAGCATGTCGGCGAGCCTGCCGCCGTGTATCTGGTTTCAGTGTGGTTGTGCAGGGGGAGGGATCAGGAGTTAAAAAAATCTGGACTACAGGAGCGGGTCGCGGTGCAAGCGAACAAGAGGCACAGGGAAACACGAAGAAAAACCATGATCTGCATTCGAAGAATTTCAAATAAAGTGAGACCGTAGGTAAACCTGTCGCTGTTTTAGGTATTGTCAAAGGCTTTCCTGAGGTCCGTCAGGGTCACGACGGAATGGTGGTAAGCCCTTGGAGCTACTCTAGCGGGCTACGAACAGGAATACCCCGGGCCAGAGCTCTGACGTCCGCGGGCTACGACCAGCGTTTCGTTTGGCGCCGCCTGAAGTATTAGTTACAGCAACGGGTGGCGGGTGTTCGAGCTGCGGCAACGATTACCTCGGCCAAAGCTACAGGGTCCGCCCACTGCCCTCGGGCCCTGGTGATGCCCCGGGTCTCGTACGGCAGGAGCGCCTTGGTTGAGCTAGCGCCTGGATGGGGTGGGATGGGTAAGGAGGTGACTTCCTATTCGGGGTTTTCCTTCGCAACATCAACGTTGACCGTGCTTCTATTTCCTCTGAAGAACAAAGCACCGATATTCCGAAATCTTTTAGCGTACACCTCCATCAGAGGTTAGGATTTCGACCCTTTGCTGCAATAAATAACAGCCCCAAATCGACAGGAGGGAATCGAATCTCCGACGAAACTCGGAGATTAGGAGCAACCTGCTTAGGAAGAACCATTGCATGAATAAACAACTGTTTCGTGTTTTTCCTGCTCGCACTCAAGCTCTCGTGGTATGTAGGCAGATGCAGCGCTCGCCATTCTAGACTGGACAGGTCAAATTCTGAGTTGCCCATTTTCCTACTCCCTCTGCCATCTGGATTCCCAAACATTTTGTTCAGAGATGGCGCTTCCGTTCAACGTTAACCCCAGCCCTATCGGCGCTGAAAATGCAACCCACGACTACAGCAAAGCCGGGTTCTACGGTCGATGGCAACATGCCACACAACGGATAACCCCGTTGACGTCTACGGGAAATTGATGAGACGCCAGTCTATGGAATGGTGTCGAGAAACCCTAAAACGGAATAGGCTCGAGAAGTATCCAGAGTTAATGCCTAGACGGAGAAGCACGAATAGAGTATCACTGGGTCCAAGTCCAGGATCACTTTTGTAGTAACGCGTACGGGGATCCGCAGCCTAACCGCACGAGCGTCAGCAGCCTATCCGCAAGGGCATCATCAACACCGACAACAACAACCCTTGAACAGCAAACAGGGCAGGCGTACCAAGCAGTACGATGACGTGGGGGTCGACTAGCCCTATCTCCTCTAGGAGAAACGGCAGGTAGAAGTCCATCTCCTCGGGGGTAGGCGTTCGGTTGTCGATCGGTCTCCGCCGCACGATGTTGCTGCGGCGCGAGGGGGACAGGCATGCGACAGGCTTAGGGAACCGCAGAATATTGCGCAGCAAAACAACACGGTACGCGTAGCAGGTAGGTCTTCGTCCTTTAGGTAAACAGGTGATGGAACACTGCGAGCACGGCGTCTATCCGCGTCCTTTCGAACTTGTAGCCTCACGAGGATATACATTCACCGAAATTGACCGCCCCGTTCGGGGATCAACACTAACCGCCCCTGAGAGGAACCCGGCCGCGGCCGAAGCGCCAGCACCCCCACGGTAGTTAGTACAGCAGACAAACATGCGCCCGGAATACTAAAGGCACTGCTTTTCAACGCAAAGAAGAGCAACAAGCAAAGGTACAGCTTCTCGACCAACACGCAGAGAGACCTTCTTCTCCGTTTATTGTCTGGTACCGAGAGGCGGGTTTCGTCTTTTCGTTCTTGGCCCTTGCGTCCACAGTCCAGGTAGTACCTGGTACAAGGTAGCAGATTTCGTCTATTCTTTTTTACACCCTTCAGTCCGCAGCGAACGAGCGCACCTGACGTAGACCTCCCGCTCGGGATCAAAGCCGACCGCCCTCAGCATGTCGTCCAGTAGCTGCCCTGACCGACCGACGAACGGCACCCCGAGCCTGTCTTCCTCGGCGCCCGGCGCTTCCCCGATAAGCATCAGGGACGCCGAGGGGTCCCCGCGAAAAACGACGACCCTTCCCCCATCCTGCGAAACCCCCCAAGCCCGTCGAGTTCTCTATTGGTCAATCAAGCGTGAAAACCAACCCGTTTGGCAACAACAATTTTTTGCTTCCGATTGGGGGAGAATACGGTTACTGAAAGGATGGGTCGGGATTGTTTGAGGCCATGTACTTGGTTTTGGCCGCCGAGGTTGCGTGCGATTGTCTCGAATGTGAAAGCAATGAGAGACCGGAAGCGTGCGCGGTTGGGGACAGCTGCGGTTTCGCGACGCACTCGAACGTACAAGCAACCAAACACACAAGCGAGCCGTCACACCAATGGTTGCCACATTGGCACACAACCACGCCGTTGGGGCAACATAGACCAACACGCCGTTGGGGGTCCACTGGCAACAGCAATGGGTGCGGTCAATTGAAAATCGCTAGGGCACCGGAGACTGGGCTCGTGCGGTCTGGTCATCGAGCAGACGAAACGGTTTAAGAGAGAGAGAGAGAGAGAGAGAGAGAGAGAGAGAGAGAGAGAGAGAGAGAGAGAGAGAGAAACAGGGAGAGATATCGCCAAAGCCACATACGGATGGTGGAATTTCAGAAAACAGAGAGAAAAACAAACGCATACCAACCACAGCAACACTAAGGTTCGACTGCGAAAGAAGATAAACAACGACCCTACCGTACACCACCAGTATGTGCGGGTCCCCGTCCGTACCTCCTCGAGGGGGTCCCCGGTGAGCGTCAGCAACTTCTCGACGAAAGCTCGATGGCCCTCTGCATCGCCCCTCATACTCATGCCAAAGCCTGAAGTCGTGGCCGCCTTTATCGCCCTACGGGACCCGAAACACAAAACAGAAGAAGTAGGCATTCGAACACAGAACGTTCCACGTGTGTGTAAGGACGGTAGTAATTAAGAACTTGAGTCTCAGCAAACCAAAACAAAGAACGTGGTCAAAATAACAGGTGCTCAGTCGAGAAGTTTGTCCACTAAAAAAGAACCTGTTGTTGCCGTGTGGGGGTACATACCCTAGAACAAGGCCCCGGCCAAAATTAGAGATTCTAACGTGGTGGCGCGTTCTGTACGTGTAAACCATGCCGATCGTCGTGTGCAAGCCCGGTGAATCTGTGTGACACCACAGGCTCCAGCTGTTCTCATACCCCAATCGTTCGTTCGCTGGTTGCATGTCAATATACGAAAAACATAAGGTGTTCAAGCGATAGCGAAGGTTATGTGTACTCGAAACATCCCACGACTACTTGGGCTCAAAAGACCAGTAGTGTTTGGCTCCACCCCCATACATAGGGGTCCAACAAAAAAAATAAAAATACTTTCGCGCGAAGCGCGAAAAGATGGGGCGGAGAGAGACATCAAAGCAAGCGTAGATAGATGTGGATGGGGCCTACGCCACCACAGAGGTCACCAGTGCACACGCTCACACATCACCCGACACCACCAGTCAGTCAGGGGATGACTGAGAGAGCTGTTTAGCTCTCATAATCATCAGCTACATGTAGCTGCTGCCGTGCAGGATGGGTGTGCACTTGCTTTCCTCGCTTTCGCTGCTAGCAGCGGGCGACGGGCTCCAAAAATCGCCCCCGATGCCTCCTACGATGTGCATATTTGGTCGCCCTCCGCCTACAGCGTTGTGTACGTCTCACTTGTCTCTGTGTCGGGGGTGCTGCTGTGGTGGAAGAAAAGCTCGGCCTGCAGACGAACAGCCCGCATACAGATTTGACTTGTGTGCACTCGCAGGTTCCCTCGCTTGCTGCTAGCAGGCGGCCTCGGGGTCTCAAAATAGCTTCCGACGCCAGCCAGCCTTTGGCCGGACTAGGCCTACAGCAGTGCGTACGTCTCGTTGTCTCTGTTGTGTGGGGATGCGTCTGTGTGGGAAGCTCCAAAGATCGGTAGGTTGAGGTGATGCAGACGGACCGCGGATTGATTTGCGTCGTCACTCGCTTGTGCTGCCGACAGCAGGCAAATGGGCTGTAAGAGTCACACCCAACGCCTCCTATGATGTGTGCCTTTGGCTGCCCTTGGCCTACAGCAGTGCGTATGCTGCTGTGCTGGCTGTCTCGTATGTTGTCTGCGTGGTGTGTGTGGTGCTGGTGTGCAACAGGATTTCGGGGATTCTCCCGAGAGCGTCGTGCCCATCGCCCAATCATCTGTCTCTGTCTTACAACACGTTTTACAAAATCGACGTGTGATTGGTGGGAGATGGGTGTCTACCCGGCTCTACCCCTCTAAAACCTAGATAATTGTAGGAAGTTGTTCCGTGTCTTATAGAAGTACGAAAATTTCCCTATTTATGGGTGCTCTGCCTAGTGTTTCAGTTTTCCCTGCCGTGCTGGCGCGAGGTACATACAATACATTCGTTCTGGGACAAAGAAAAAAGCGCAACTTTGGTGGAGAAAGAGCCAGTGCGGTACACTGCTCGCATTAACAACTAATCCGTAGGTGACACACGACCCTGGGCCAAATATAGGACACTCTGCGCATGTGTGTATGGATTGCATACATTTTCAGGTTACCAACGATTTCCGACACGCAGACAGGACAGGTAGATCCAGAACAAATACCGAAACTATGGTGATGATCCGGGGATGCAAAAGAAATATCCCCGCTTTTTTTTCAGCATCCAAAGACCTTGACTTTGGACGCCGCTTGCCACTGGTGTTGTTGTTTGCTTTTGCTCTTTGGTTGAAGCACCTTCAACACCGTTGAGATATCTCCTACCCTTTTCTCCCTCTGGTGGCGTACAACCATGGATATTGGGGACAACGCGCAAACAACACATGTAGCATAGTCTACATCTACGGAGATCTTGACCGGAGAGGACAAAGCGGAGAAGACGAAACCAACATCCAACGCACGAGCGAGGTGCCTCGCACAAACGCAGCACACCCAGGCAAAGCAACCAAAGTCGAAACACGCTCACATATTCTGTTGAGTCGTTGCACAGCGGCGGCGCATGAAAGGGGCAGCGGACCTACTCCTGGTCCTACAGCAAGAGGATGCCCTTGATACCAAGGAGTTCGTGCTGCTGCGAGGAGAGGTCGGAGCTTGCCAGGCGAGTGAAATGCCTGAGAAGAGGGTGAACACTGCGACAGCAGTCTTCATCGGCGGGGCAACCATATCACGCAGGAGGTGCTGCGCAGTGGCGAAGTGCCACAAGCGAGCCTCTGCTCCAATCTCCAGTACCGAGAACGGAAGAACCGAAATGCCTCCTTTGTTTGCAACTCCGTGAAACCGCCGAGAGCTCTGTGCGATATCGACAACAATCAGCAGCATCTTCACCAGATCCGTGGGTTTGTCGCTTACAATTGTGTATGGCCTCTGCTGTATGTCAAAATTTCAATCTACATGCAGGTGGTGACATGTCCATCAATCCAGCAAAGGAGTTTACTATCATCTCCGTCGAGTAAGCGATGCTGGCAACCGCGACTAGCCGCTCAAAGTCGGTGTTGGGCAATCTGAATCTTTTCAGCATGCTCTCTCCCCGAAAAAACTAGAGGACCAAAATGGGTGTGGCTGTGCTGTTGTCTTACCAATAACCGTTCCAATCTCTATGAAGCCCAGTACCTCCAAATATCCTGATGATTCTACAGAGTGCGTTTGCCGACATTTGCGCGGGACTGTGAAATCCTTCCGCAGCCTTTGCCCAACTTGCCTACTGAGAAGCAACAACGAAGCCCCGCTCGGGCAAAGCAGCTAAAGTACGAGGCCACCCCGACTGAAGACGCTTCGAGTGGACAGGGAGGAAACAAATCCAAAGTCGGTTTTAGTTTTGCCAGTGCGAAAGCCATAGTGGAGCCGTAGAAGACTGGGTGCACGATTCCTGGCGGCACATCCAAGGTCATGATCGCCGCAAGGAACTCTGTGGTCGCCCAATCGAAGCCGAAGCCACCTCCAATGCCTTCGCTAGAAGCCATCGCGAAGTTGATAGGAGTCAATCTGGAATCGGAGCCAGAGTTAACGTGAGCAAAGGAAGTTGTGCACAGTGACACCCATTTCTCCAGCTCACCTAAACCCAAGGAGTAAGCCACAGAGAGAGCTCGCGTGGCGCCCGTCATGCTACAAAAGCTTATCAGCCAGAAACAGCGTCTTCCACAAAGCTGCTGGGTACACTCGATGTCCTCTCGTCTGTTGATGTCGCAACACTTGATGATGCTATCGCCACACATTAGCCCCGTAAGACCCACCGTCGTGCTGCTAAACGCCGCTCGGTGAATCAGGCACATCGTATCGGAGATGCGGACTACTCCGTTACCACCGACGTGGACAATCGAGGAGATCGGCGCCAGCCAAACAACACCGCCGAGAGCGTCACGCTTCACGACCAGAAGCATTACTAGCTACACCGCCGACAGGGAAGCCAACCTGTCAGCGTCAGCCATCGCCCCCAGGTTGGAGTACGTCAACCGGGTAACGAGAGAACGGACGTGTACGCACCCGGGGACGCCGTACTTCCTCCGCGCCGTTGAGCGGCAGAGGGTCAGCAACCAGCGTCAGCGTCGCGGAGAAGTTGTGGTCGTGTCCGGCACGTCACCAAAGGCCAATAACAGCAATCACAACAGCATCATTGACACCATGGATTGGTCGCTCCCGTCGACAACTTCCCACCCGGATGAAGACGGCCACGCAGGTCGAGGCGGTGCTCCTAGCATTGGCACTGTCCATGACGACACCGCCACCATGGACGATGACCAACCGGTGGCGTCGACCACCGATTCCGGTACAAACAACAGCAGGTGATCCGGGTGTGCGTGTTCCATACGTCCCACAAGGAGTGCTGTTCGTGCCTCTACAACGGTGACAGAGCCTTGCTGCTTAGATTTGGCCAGCTGAGGACTACAACGCTCGATAACAAGTACGGCGGTTGTGCAAGACTGACTCGTTGGGTATTACTGTAACTCGTCCGCTTGTGCTCCTGATATGTTTGCAGTAAGGTGCGGGTGGTCCGCAGGGACAAGCCAGGGGTGGGCAGCGGTACGAGTTTAGCCGAGCAAGAACAAGACAACGGGGCAGAGAGAGGATCAACTCACCGAAAGCGCGCGCCGAGTTCGGGAGGAAAGGGTGGCAAGCGGAGAACGCCCCCACCTAAATGGCTGGTCTTCACTTCTTGGTGGCACGTGAGGAGATGTTCTTGCAGCGGTGCCGCGAACAGTGATATCATCCGTTTTTTGTCCTCCGTGATAGGCCTCGTTGTCCTCGCCCATACCTTATTTTTTCCAGGCACCGGCCACGGGGAAGCCGACGAACACTTTGCTGGTGCTCATTCTCACAAGCCTTGGGCCAGACTGCCGCCGGCAAGTTGTTTCCCCAAGTCAGTCTTAGATACTTTTTCAAGCCGATAGCAGTTAACTCCTACTCATACACCAACTTACCTCCCGAGCTTGAACCGTTATTCAGACCACCATCGCGGATGAACAGGCACTCACCAGATCAACAACGTGCAGCAGAACAACAGCAGAACTGATATTGGTAGGCGATAGATGAACTGAAACTACCGACTACCTGAAATCATCTCGCATATGTCCTTTAACTCGCAAGAAATTGATGCCCACCGCCAATCGGTCTACCAACATCTCGTCATCTCCTCGGCTGCCTTGTCATGAATAGTCTCTGGTATTTGGGCGTACTGTCGATATTACAACCGTAGGTTGTATTTTCCCGCTGAACGTTTGTTCCTGCGCTCACTCGCGTGCCTTTGAAATCATGCAACCGTGCCCCACATGTCGCGTCACGCGTGCGTGCGCGTCTCGCTTCTCGCTCTACCACGAATATACAACATTTCACATCTCCGTACTGGGCCATAGCCTCTTGTGGGTTCGGTCCATCTCCGAGACCAACACTAACATAAACCTTCCGACTCCTCGGGATGCTATTGTACCCGATCGCATCCGAGACAGGAGACCACTACCGGGACAGAGAACACCGTGAACCGCAAGCACGCCTCCATACGATACTCTACAGCCAACGGATCTCTCGAGGTGGAGCTTGAGGACGTCCCGGCCATTTTCGAGGTCTCGCATGCCACGGGGAGGTGAGCAGCTCTTTCTGTCATTTTGCTGGCCTTGGCTGTTTCCGGGAAAGACACATGTAGGCGTTGGAGAAAGTTGTTCGCCGGGATACGGCCGCGGAGGCTCATGGGAATGATGACCTTCACGGGTGGTGCCTCTTGCATAGAGTTGATGTACATAATTTAGACGATGTTTTTTCAGGTCTGCAAAACGCACAAAATATGTGGTTCCAACGACACCAGCTATCTGTGTGAATAAGGCTTTCGTGGTCGACGTAGGTAGAGGCAGTTTTACACAACCACGTGAACCGACAAACCCGGCCTTTCGGGCCCGGTTTCGGCATTGTGGGGATGCAAGATCACCGACCTGAAGAAGAGTATGAATGAACGTTTTTCATGGTTCAAACCGTCCCCCTCTTCAGTAACCCCCACGTTGTACATACTGAAATGTCAATCGTCGAATCCAGTTTCAATAAAGAAGAAACGCTCCGCACCCCGGCGTCGCTTGGCTACATTCGTTGCTTGTACAATCATTGTGACTCTGAATGCCCACGTTGCACGGTGTGTTCGTTGCCCGCAAAAGTAAACCTTCCTCACGCTACTTTCGCGCTCTGGCTCTGGCCCTTCCATGCACTCCCATACTTAGGATCGCACAAGGTCCGTTCCAATTCAGCAATATCATTGTTCCCCCTTTCGTGCAACTGCCGCAACCAGGTACGGAAAGGTGGGCGCTGTCGACATCCGTGTGGGGGCTCAGCTATCGATCTTGGGGCGTCAGATGCGGCTGATGCAGGCACGTTCGTGTGGTTGACTTCAACGTAGGCAGACGAAAGACAGAGGTTTCATCTCGTGCATGGTGTAATGTCGATCGCTTCTTGCCATATTCTTGGAGGGTGGAGATACACCAGTTCGGTGCTTTTCTTTACCCGACGTCGCTGACGAGTTCTCTTCCGCGGGAGCAGAGCGATATTATCTCGAATACGAGCGAAACAATTCCAAATTCATCATGAAGTGGATGATTAGGCCTCCAGGGAGCGTGACAGAAAAGCACGTGAGCGGGCGGCGTTGATTGTACATCGGAACGTGTTGTTCGCTCGCTGCTCATCGTTGATGTTTTGCCGGTGATGGGATGATCCGTGTTCATAGCCACCACGTTGCCCATTCGGCGTCCATATGTTTGCGACGGCACCCGTGAAACATTCTTCTTCGTGCGCCGTCGTTGTGCAATTAACGTTCCAGTGTGATGGGGTGACAGCTCAGTGGCTCGAGAGTGAGGTCCGAGCCATCACGAAGGCAAAGGCGGCGCTAATCACGGCTGTCGAAGACGGGGGGGACAGCGTGAGAGTCACATGCCGCAGGTGTGTCTGTTGGGGGGTCGACGGGAAGTGAAGAGCATGTTTCTGACGGGGTGTTCGTGTTCGTGGCCATCACGAGGTACGCGGAACGTTGGCGTAAGGAGACTTTGGCTCCGCATGCGCACGCTTGGTCGACATTAGCTCAGCGAGAAAATGGTGGTGGTCAAGCGCTTTGTCGCCGGTTGGGCTACGCGTTTGAACGTGAACTTTGGTTGTCTGAACGGGTTCTCTCTCACGGAGATAACCCCCGCCGTCTGCACCGCATGCAACATGGTCAGCGACCATGAGTCCCTCCATCCTCTTCGTATACCTCCTTCAGCATGCCTGTGCTTACAGTAGAACGTATCGCCTGGTCCTGAGTACGACTCCTCTTTTCGCCCGCATCTCGGGTGCTGTCGTGACGTAATAATTTCGCACCTTTGCCGCATGCCCGGGCAGCGATCGGCTCCAAGTGGCTGCCTCCGCGCAGCGAGGGAGCGGCTCCGTGGGACAGGCGGCCGAGATGGACCGCAGAGCTCTGATGCAAGACGTGGCGACCCTGCGGGACATCCTGGCGAAGACCCAGCCGGAAGAAGCCAGGAGGCTGACCGACGGACTGGATTTTGCCTAATATATTTGGGTCGAAACGCGTGTGCCGGTGTGCACGAAAAGAACGCGGGCAAGAAGAACATGCAGCTACATACGAAGTTTATTTTATTGCCACATTTAGCTTTCGTCAATCTCGTTCTAACGTGTGCGCGTGTGTGATATCATCCCATTTTAATGTAGGCACCGGCTTCAAACTTTCTCGACATGTTTGGACACACGGGTCACGTTCACGCAAGAGGAAGGGCGCGCAAGCTTATTGGCTTGGCTTCTTCCTTCCCCGTTACTAATACTTTTTTCCGATCGCGCAGAGGATTCGACCATCTCTTTGCCTCCTCGAACGTTTAGTGGAGTTCCTCCTACACACGAATTTGCCGCTTGCCACTTCTATCTGTAGGGCACAACGCGAGAAGAACGAAATATCATGTGACTGCGCCAAGGTTCGAACTCACGTCACAAGTTTGTGAGGTTTACATTTGAATCGCCGTCGGACGACGCACCCTAGGCAAAAGAGAACAGAAGGACTACCCCGTCGCACGTTGAAAGTTCTACAAGTGCGTACAAACATAGTAGAAACTGTTATGTTGCCCTCGTTGGGGTGGCCGCTGAAATCGCCTTCCTCCTCAATTCTCCCCTTTCTCATCGCCCTCACAGGCACCACCATCGCCACAAATCTTCTCTACCCTAAAAAAGCACAAACCAAACAGGATACAATACAAGACTACAGCCGTGGTACCCAGCAGTGGGCAAATCTCACGACCGAGAGCAGAAGAACCGACATTTTCGTAGCCTGGACTATTCGTAAACAAGAGGCCGCGAACAAAGGAAACAAAAGCCAGCCGCCGAAAAACGGAGCCATCGCATTACGCAGCTCCAAAATTCGGAAGCCAATCAAGCGCCCCTCGATGTGCTCCACGCCGCGAGAGCGTAGTAGCACCTGCTAGCGCTACATTAAAGCACGACCCTGAGCCCACCTCTGAAAATCAAGCTTTGTGGTCTATCAAGCAAACATTATAACACACGTTGAAGTCTGGGACAAGCACCAAGCCCTGACTAAACCTTCGGCGGTGGTCCAGTCTAAGCCGTGTATTCTACACTGTAACACGGTCAAGAGAGACCTCGGGGGGAAACACTGTCTGGTGGAAAGCTATGCCATGCCATCCTCTACTGCGGCTGCTGCTGTGTCTTGCGACGTCGGCGCCGCTGACTGGATCGAATACGGAGAAACGACCAGTTTCCACGCGCAAGCATACGGAGACAACGATTTCTATAGGGGGCAGGATACAACTGCACTAAATAAAGCAGCACAAAAAACGAAAAAATTCGCCCAGAATCAAACACGGGACTTTCACTGCGAGGGAGAGTAACAATACTTGCTTGAGAGCGCACACAAACGAAATGCCCGAATCACAAGGAGAAGTAGAATGACAAACACACATAGCACGCACTGCCCAACCACTCTCGCCGCCACACATACAAACTATCGGAACAAACCAGAACAAATCACTAGAGACCCGGTTTGTCTCTACTGACATCGACCGCGTAGCAACACGAATCACTCCCTCTCACGCAGGACGAGCTATCGACTTTCCACACAAGACAGCGGTGACAAACAGCGTGACCACCACGAGGTAAAATCTCCGACACCAGGAAAGTCAACAATGTAGATGCTGCCGCCTAGAACGCCAGCATGGCGTTGGTTTTCGGTGTATCTAGTCCGCAATCCAAAAACGAACAAGCAATAATATCAAAAGACGGGTGTGACATGGTGAATCTATTCACCACCGGCAAAACTCACCCACAACTCCCTCTCTACAGGGGGAACGGCTGTCCGTCTCGATTGTTGTAAAGTTGACAACAATGATCCTTGGCTTGTTTCAACCAAAGAGGCGAATTTCGGTTTCGCCTGCAAGGTTGTACACCAAGTACTACAACATAAACATTGAAAACCATCGTCCACCATCAAAGCACTGCCTCGGTCGATATCGCGTCTCCATGCCCCTTGAAGGTGGCGGGCCGAAGCAATTTTTCCCCTCTCTCTACCCCTCGCAACAAGATTCAATCAAGCTCGTGAACTCCCGCGAGTTGACGTCAGTAAAAGTCATCCTATGCGCTACCTGTAACTCTATCCCGAAAACAACAAGACAATCGGACGCTGGTTACACCGACTGGACCCACCAACGGCAACGAACGAATGGCAAAGTTTTCCTGAACGTCGATGAGGTCCACCATCAGCAGCAACGTTCTCTCACGCGTCGATGCGTTCCGCCAATAGCAAAAGGCTTGCTATTAAATCCTCCCATGTACCCGCCGACAGCTAGCAACGAAGAGCATTCCGTGAACATGCCGATGAGACATGCTGTTCAACAGCAAGTGAGGATATTCCGCTCCCTCGAGCCGATGAGACCCGGCGTAGCAGCAAGCAATGGTGACGCTTCCTAACGTCGATTGCGAGTCGCCCCGGCAGCACCACCAAGGAATCGGCAGCAAGGGATTGAGATCAAGGAACTCCGCGACAAGGATGTTTCAATAACAGCGGCAGGGATTTATCATAGCTCGTCCGCGTCGATGAAACCGTCGCCGTCTTCATCGCGTTCCTCGCCGACCTCGTCCCTCGTAACGAAGCCGTTGTGGTCCTTGTCCAGAGCCGTGAATCGGGTGTGAATCTGTTCGATGTCCTCCTGGGTTACTTTTTCCTGCGACAGCAGACGGTTTGCGCGTGCGCAAGGGCTCTCGAGTGAACCGCGAGGACATTAGCGAAGGCAGAGGCACGTAGACAGGCAGCTCACGGCATTGAAGCCCCCCAAAAGCGCGTACTGACGCTGGCGCCGGCGATCAAGGCTGGACGCTTCGAACGACCCTCGGGCATGGAGTTACAGTGCAAGGGCCTAGTGAAGAGCATACTGGATGCCATTCAGTCCCTTTCCGGACCTCTTCTCCCTGTGAGAGATGGGAAGCGTCCGGCACACGGTTGACTACAATTTTTTTTTTAGAAGTTTCCAATTATTTTATTCGCTGAAACCTCCATGAACAGCTACTTTTGTTGTGTTCTCGAAACGGAGATATGTTCGACCAAGCCGAGTTCGAGGGCTCAGCAGTGCATCGAGATGCTTATTTCTCGTCGACAAAGTTCCCCTAAACGCTCCCTTTCAGAATTTATATTTCAAGTTAATAAAAAAAAAAATTAAGTCAATCGAAGAAGAAATAATACAGCGATATACGCCGAGAGTGTGGAGATGAGTCATTTCCTTGTGGTAGCGTCGAATTTCGGTACAGCAGTAAACGCCCCTTTCCCCGACAAAAGATTGAATCGCTCATGACGGGCAAAATCGCTGCTGAAAAACCGAGTGGTGTGCGAAATGATCTGAGCGATCCCGACCGGTGGGGCGATGACGAACTTCAAATGTTCAACGCCACGCCGACCTTTGAAACACAGCTCGTCAGGAAAACACCCAACACAAACGTACGCCAAATTTCGCAGCAGAAAAGCTCTCTTGACTATAACGTGGCGAGCGGTGCACCGTACAGGCTGTTGATGTTGGACACCACGCACGGCTCCTATTCTCAAAAGTCTGGTTAGCGAGGGTTGCCGAAAAAGAAGCGCGAGCTGCGTTTTTCGTGTGCTCTGTGCGGTATTTCCGAGACGTGGGTGTCCACAACCTGCGGGCGTCGATCGCCAACTCACTTGTTTGATGAGGGTGTGAACCATGAACTCCATGAGGCTGACGCGGTTGTCGTTGTCCGCGTCCATGGCCGCGTACTCGTGCGCCGTAACCGTCGCCAGGAGGAGGCGCGTCTGCCTCTGCTTTACGCGCTTGCTCGCTTGCATCTGCGCTTCCCCGCCCGGGGGAGACGCGTGGCAGGGCGGGGTCGCAAAGAAGAGAAGAGAGGAGACGATTTTCGTCGTCGTCGTTTTTCACCGAAAGTCTTCGACGGAGCCAACGAAACGAAACGCAGCAGTGCCTCACTGCCACCATTGTGCAAGTCGACAACCCACAGGCCGTCCAACCCCAGCCTCAGCATCTTCTAATTAGCAGTTTTGGACGACGTTCAGGTCTATCCCTACCACCGTGACCTCCAGCGGAAAGCTCCAAACATCAAGCGCACATTTACATCCCGATACGTTATCCTACGCAAACGCGAGCCCCGGCAAACTTGGTGCGGTGCAGAAAAACGGCGTATTTCCGATTATCGAACCCAAACACCCGTAAACCAACAACGTAGCCTTGTCTTTATCCTCCCAATACCAGCACAAAAGCTGTCTTCGACACTGATTAGCCCAGCTTGTGCACCTACCTCGGTGTAATCCGAAATAATCTTTCCCAGCAGCAGGGTGGACAACGGCAGGAAGAAAATGGCGAACAACCGTGTCCCGGTCGAAGACGGGAAGTAGTCGCCTGTAGCAATTGGTCAATCAAAAACTCATGAGAACAAAAAAAACGGCGTGATTCTTCCCGATAACAAATCCGACACGACACTAAACAAGGCAACAACAACAACAACAACAACAACAACAACAACCAGCAAACTTGACCAGAATGAAAAGGATAAACCCACTCTGAGCAACATTCCAGCAAGAGTACGTATTATAGTTACCCTTCAACTGGATCCCAGATTAAGTGCAGAAAACCGTTTCGGTCAGCGGAAACTCCAAGGCTCTGCTCTGCGCGGCGACTCTCACCATACCCCACCGTCGATGAGGACACTACCGTAAGGTAAAAGGCGTCGATCACCGACATGTGGCCGCACACCATGAACACCGTTGTGCCCACCCCCACGAGCAGCAAAAAGTAGAAGACGCCCAGGCCCACCTCCACCTGTCCGGTCGATCGTCGTCGTCGCGACATGACCGTTGACCAGGGGAATAACAAGTCCGGAGCGACAGAGAGAGAGAGAGAGAGAGAGAGAGAGAGAGAGAGAGAGAGAGAGGGAGATCGGCAGGGAAATCAAACCACAAACCACACAGAACCACAGATGGTGCCAGTCCGCCTGTCCCTTATATCGACTCTTGGAGAGAGGGGTGGAACGGGCTCATTGATTCTGCGGTTCGCGTGTCGTCCGTGCCGCAGGTTCATGGATCGCGCGTGAGTGAGATGGGAAAGGCATGTATGCCGTGGTTGCGGGCGCAGCGTAGAACGTCTTGTGTAGCCCAAATCAATAGCGCATGTCGCTGTTCTGCTTTGCAGACGACCTCAAGAGAAACTCGGAGTCAAGCGCGTCTGTGTGCATCATCGCCGGAGTCGGAGGAGGAAGGACCGGCCGCGTGTCGAAAATATCTCAAAAGCAAGAAAAAAAGGAAAAAAAAACATCGAGGGGGTTCCGCCGTTTCATCTTCTCGGTCGTCGTATCACCGCACCGGACCAGCGGCAGCGTCGTTCGCGCACGGGAGGGCACCAGTCGTAGCTAGCTAGCTAGCTCCGCGTTGTTGCCCTTACATTGATTCTATTGACCAAGGCGATGTCGTCGTCGTCGCCAGCGGTGTCCTGCTGGGCGGCGGACGTGCCGCCGTTGGTCGCGCCGCTCCCCCCCTGTGTCTGTACCCGTAAGAAGAAAGGAACGCCGACCGTCATGGCTGCACCGTGCAATCCTATTGGTTGGTGGCACGCGGGTCTCACGACGATGCGCTTCTCGCCCCTCCATGACTACAAACCACGTCTTTTAATGGACATGTAATCAATAGTGTGGGGGTGTGCGAAGGCCACAAAACGAAAAGAACCGCAACAAGGAGTGTTGTTTTCGGTTCCGGCTCTCTCACCCAACGACCGCCCACAGCTTTACCTTCGCGGCGGTGTCAGGATCTTCCGCCCCCATGGCCTGCGCCCTGTTCTTCGTCAGGAGGTTCACGAGAAGGTCCTCCTGCGGAGAGAACATAATCATCACGAGGCGGGTCACATACAAGGGTTTCGAACAAAAATAAAAAACATGCATTTCAACGGGAGAGTGCGTTCAAGGATCGGAGGGGGCATCGTCGTTGCGAGTCCACGCGGTGGTATTAGGTCAAGCTATCCAAGCAGCTATTCGATCGACAACAGAAAGCTAAGATATCTGTCCATTTGACGAGGTGTGGTTTTGGCGACACAACGCAATACGAGCGGAATTCTGCCGCGTTTTCTCTGCGGGACATGTTGTTGGCCGGTATTGCCGTCGCCACGTACGGTACCCCACGTAGCCCAACCCCCCTCCGCGCCCCCCCCCTGCCACCGATCAGTAGATTCTCCTTGACCAAGTACGCCAGAAACTAAAAGCGCGCCCGGAAGTCGGGGGTTAATCGAACAGGAAAACAACGGATTTCCGTCCCGAACAGGTTGATGCGCTGAAAACTAGTCGAACGAATGAAGGAAGGAGCCCAATTTCAATTGTAAATCAAGAATACAGCCCTCTATAATTGCGTAGGAGTCGGTATCGCCAACTAAGCCATTCTCGGCTCATCGAATTTCATGCACAGTGTGGCAAGCGTGGAAGGCACCGACTACTAGAGGTCATCTCGCGGCGTCCCGTACCTCGAAATAGGTGAGAGCGCGAT